CCCCCCCCCCCCCCAGGCACGCATGGCTCTCCATTCATCTGTGTGGAATCCGACCGGGTCAGGTCCGAACAGAAAACACTCTGCAGCTCCAGTCAGTACTGACACTGTACGTTTGGGAACACAAATTCATAAGATGACTCCAGAAAACTGTGATTTGCCTCAGTTATTGCTCAATCCGACTTTGTGCCAACAGTAAATATGAACCCTTTTCTTTGTTTTCCCCTCTCTCTTGATACCTGGTCGGTTCAATGTGGACCATACTAATAGAGTCCGGTTCAGACTGATAACAGTAAAGTCTCTTTATGTTCTGTGATGCCGTTACAGGGATTATTATTATTCGGAGAGTTCAACTGAAAACTCTTTAATTAGAGATTTAATCTGATCTGTGGTAGAAATGATTTAAAGTTTTGTACACAGTGTTCATTTATGTTTTTGTGTTTGTGTGTGTGTGTGTCAGGCCTCTGGATTATCAGAAATTTCGAAGTGCAACGTTGGATCTCGCGACACACACGCAGGAAGGCTGGAGCAAGGTGTGTGAGTCAGCGCTTATTATTCCAGCAGAAGATCAAGACGTTGGTCGTTGTCTTTTATTCTCTTCGACCAGCGGCCTCACTAATGCTGTTTTTGCCCCCCCCGCGGTCGACCCCAGGTGCTCGTGCCCCTGGTTCTGCTCCAGGCCTTACAGAACCAGGGCCAGCCTCTGGCCACTCTGCTGCATCTGGGGCTCCGCTGCCTGGAGGAAGACGAGGCCCACCGCATCGTCCAGCAGGGGGGATGGGTACGTTTCCCAAAGTCCAGTCCCACTCTACACCTTTAACGGTTTTCCACCTACATTCCATCTGGATTCTGAGAGGCTTCGTTTCCAGGCCTGATGGTTGGCCATGAGCACAAGTCCTGCCCTGTTAAATTAATGTTTGAAGAATGTTTTTACATGTTATTGAAAAGAAAAAATGGATTTCATGGAGTAGATTCTCCAGAGGCAAGGAGATTTTTTTTTTGTAATTTTTCCGCAAAGTTTTTTTTCAAATTTCTAATGGATAAGAATATGTTTTAAAAAGAACCAGCAGTCATAATTTGTTTATGGGGGGGGGGGTCAGTGAGGGCTGGAATAAATGAGCTGTGTGCAGCTCTTTAGTAAATGACGATATTTTGGTTTTTAGTACTGTATCTGATTAGATGTATGAATGAAGATATCTAGTTGGATGCCAACTTTTGGACTGGAATACTACAAAATGACCACTTGGGGGCAGCAAAGAGGCAGAACAACTACATCAAAAGGTGAACGGCATAAATTAATGTCCACACCTCATTTAAACAGCTATTAATGATTTTTTTTATTTTGTTCTTGTCCAAGAAAGTTTGATGACAACAAAGTTTATTTTTTAATAAGAAATTGCATAACTTGTGATGACAGTCAGGGCTGTCATTACCAGGGACTTTGCTCAGATTAATTACTTCAGGAGCTGATTAAATTTCTTCCTTTTTTTTTTTTTTTTTTTTTGCTAACGTTTATCTACTCTATTTGGGAGTTGCTTTCCAGCTGTGCGGTGTTGTGATAAGTGGAGCGCTGCCTGTAGCGGCTCCCTGCAAACCAGGTCAGGCCGGCGAGGAGTCACATGACTTTGAGAGATAAGCGTTGCCGCCACCTTGCTGTGTCATGCAACCGAACGTGAACACGGCGGCCCGGGCTCCAAACAAAGCCACATTCTTTGTTCAGGGTTATGTCACCGGAGGGGGGGTGGGGGGGGGGAGATGAACAGACGATGTGTTCAGACAGGATCAGGGATGGAGGGATGAAGAGAGAGGAGGAGGAGGGAGAAAACGTCCACGAAGAGCCGGATGGGAAGGGAGAGAGTCCCAAACGAGGGGCGGGGTGAGAGATGAGAGGACGCTAAAGGACGCGCACGCGATCTAGCGAGAGCAAAGTGAAAGCCCCGGTAATTTACAGCCGCTTTCACGTTCACTGTGTCCGCACGGGCTGCTCCTGGTCTCCGACTCTCCGGAGCTTTTAGCGTTGGAGCGTGAACCCCGAGGATCCGGGACCTTCTCTCAGGTAGGGCGCATTTCCCCTTTAACCAGGGGATCCCTTTAGTCTGGGTAGGGGCACGATTTCTGGGGAATTCTGGCCGCGAGTCAGGGGCAGAACATGGCCACCTCTTGTTTTTCTGCAGGTCCGTCCTGAAGGCTGCTTTAGTTTTTAACCGCGCACGCATCAGGAAGTATGACCCGCAGGACAAAGCGCTCAGGGAACCGAATGTTGAAGGGTTTTCTGCCTTTGTCGGATCCATTTCGATTACTTTAATTGGATCAAAAACCAAAATGATTATCATCACTCTGTCCAGGATTTTGATCTGTTCCGTTTTTAAAAAAAGGGGGGCACGCCATGTTGGGTTGGGACGGCTCTTAACGAGGCCTTTTGTCAAACCAGGCAGGAACCAGTAGGGATTGTTATGACCTTAATGTGGATCACACTTCATTTGGCAGGAACAAAACCACTTACCCTCAGCCGGGTGGGCGGGAGGATGGCACGATTTGGGAGGGACGGGGGGAAAAAGGAGTCCAAAAAACAGCTGACCTGAGTGTTCCCACTGGTCACTTCATTCTGCAGCCTCTGTGATTCCCACGTAACGCGAAACCCGAGTGTTTGAAGGTGACCCCCCCCCCGCCCTGACCCTCGGGGAGGGGGGGGGGACAAACGCACACTGTACTGCGGTGCGGCCGGTCAGCGGCGGTCACAGCAGCACGTGTCCAGCCCCCCCCCCCACCGGGGAGGTTTGCTGCTGCTGCAGAGGTGATGCCTTCAGATGGAGAGCTGCAGCCGCCCCCCCCCCACCCCCCCACCCCCCCCACCGTTCTTCCGTAGGCCCCCCCGCACATCCCTGTTGCTTCTGAACTGCCGTCACAGCGGACAGCAGAGGAGGGTGTTTGTTTGTTTTTTTTGCGGCTGTGATAATCTGCTAAAATCGTCCTCACCAGGGCTTTCGATGACCCACTTGTCGCTGGCTCCTAGTTTTTAAAGAGGGCAGGCCTCGTCCTCCACGATTCTCACTCATTCTCAACACCCCTTCTGGTTTTATTCCTCTCCACACAAAGCGGATTTTAGTAGGTGTGAAGAAAAAAAAATCGAAAGTGTTTAGAATAAAGACAGGAAAGGGAATCTGTTGTTAAGAAATGGGGAAAAAATGGGATATTGGTGATGGAAATTCCCCAATATGAAGCTTTCAGTTAATTTAGCCACTCCCTGAGAATGTGAAAGTAGCCATTTTGTGTGGTAATAGATAGAAAATTCACGTCCTGAGCTAAAAAAGCTGAACTCTTTTGGCCGTTGCTGGTTGACTCTCAGACTAGATAACCTTGAAAGCGCGGCCCATTAGCAGCAGTGACATAACCCTCAGAAATGGCTGCAAACCATCTGCGTCCTGCTATCAGCGCTTTATGGCTGTTCGACATATTGCGAGAAGACAGTTTGGACTTCACATTTGTTGGCATCCTCCTGGCTATGAGGCAGTCACTCACCTGCTAACGTTAAAAAGTAGTTCTCGTCTGTTTTTTTCTGATGCTCCGAGTACCTGGTGAGGCTCAGTGAGAGCCAAAAGGCAAAGCAAGGGCAGGTAGGCTGCAGATCTTGGGCTCCACAGGAATGCGTTTGCTTTGCATATGTCCCGAGGCCAGGGCGGAGAGCAAACGGCGAAGAAGTAACAGCACTGAGCGTTAGCGTTTCCCGTCTTTAGCGCTGAACACAACCAGAGCGTCCTGCAGAGGTATTTCTTTTATTTCTGTTCTTTGATAGAGTTGCAGATTGTCATAAAACCTTTAAGAAGTCGTGTTCTGTAGCAAGCTCTTTTAACCGCGTGCACGGTCAGTTGATTAGTTTGTTCTCTATAGTTAACACATTTTCAGGGGTGTTTATACAATCCCACTTTTTGTGCTGGATTTGATGCCCAGATGACTCTTAGAATAAACCGCTAAATGCTGACAAAGCTGCTTTGTGGAGTTCAGTTTCACTCTTAGTCGTTGTCCCCTAAAGTTGATTTGATCTCTTCGACTTTGTAGCAGCGGACAATGGAAAGCGTGCGCACGCAAGTCCTCAGGAAAACGCCCGTACTGGCCTCCTTTCTGTGAGTCTGCTGTGTTTGTGAAAGCCCGTCCTGCTGTGGCGGCTGCAGGATTTTGTGCAGCGCTCCCGTTCTCCCACATGCAAATCAGCTTACGGAGAATCCGAATGTGGGATGACGGTGGGACTCTGTGAGATTTAATCTCTTTCCTGCCTCGGCCACGTTCGGCCGTGCGCGTCCCTGAAAGCTGAAATGTCCCTCACAGGGGGCCAGGCTGGTCAGCATCCTCTGTGTGGACCGTCACACTCCTCCCGTCAGGCACAGGCCTCTGTTGTCGGTTTGAATCCCGTCGGCTCGGATCGGGCCTCCATGACGGCAAGCGCATCAGACAGCTGTCAGCCCCCCCCCCTCCACCCCCCGGCCAGTTTGAGCCCCAGCTCGTGTCCTTATTTCTCCTCTGTGGACTCTGTCTGTTTGTGTGGGTCTCAGTCTGGTTCACCTCTTGATTTAGAAATCTCTGGATCTTGATGTCGATCGGGAAACGAACAAAAACATCAGCCTGTGTTTTATTTGATCATTTATTTTTTATCATTCAGCCGGTATCCAGCTGTGACTCCACAGCTGTGTTTTCATTTTTTCATTTGGAACTCTTTCGTTCCTGCACGTTCAATCTGTAATGTATCCGTTTCTAATCGCTATTATTGGAAGAATATTTAGCGGTTTTGTGTAATTGGAAGTTGTTCAAACATGCATCCAGCAGACCCTGATAAATCCATGAATCTAAACATGAATCTAAAGATTAATGGATTTATTTCCAGCTGCTCTCTTCTGCATTATGTGTGTGCTCATGATCAGATGCTGTACCTGTTACATAATCATATCTCCCCGGTCACTCGTTGGCAGATACGGCTAACTTAAAGCAGCTTACTGCTGCCCTGTTTGCATCCTTACTGATTCATGAATATGTTTTTTTTATTTGCATTTCTGAATTGATTTCATTGAATATTTGAAATGACGGATGTTTTTCCTCTGGGTGTTCCGCAGGGGGATCTGTTCAGCCTGGTGTCTGAGGAGGAGCGCAGCGGGACCATCGCCGAAGACAGCAACGACATCTACATCCTGTCGGGGGAGCAGCCCCCCTCCCCGCCCGGCCCCCCTTCCCCGCTGCTCGGCGCCGGTAGCGGCGGCGGCGACGGCGAGCGGAGCTCCTGGCAGACGGAGAGCCTGGCCGGCAGCGAGTCCTGGGCCCCCGTGGGAGCCATGGACCCCGAGGACCTGAAGAGCCTGGACGGCGCCGAGGGCGCGGCGCTGGCCGAGGAGCGCAGCGAGAACAACTCCTCCAACTCGGACATCGTGCACGTGGAGCGCGAGGAGGCGGAGCTCCTGGAGGAGGGCGGCGAGGGCGGGCTGATCGAGGACAGCATGATGAGCGTGCTGGGCACCGAGAGCGACCTGGCCGCGCTCCGGGCCGAGTTCGGGGACCCGGCCCCGCCCCCCGCCGCCGCCCCAGACCGGTCGGAGCCCACCCCCCCCGCCTCCCTGATCTCACTGGAGGAGGCGGTCGTCATAGAGACCCCCGCCAGCCTGTCGGCAGAGCCGTCCCTCCTCTCCTCGGAGCCCGAGCTGCTCCCCCCAGATCCCGAACCCGAACCGGCGGCCCCTTCCCCCGTTCCTGCACTCGAACCGGAGCCTGAACCAGAACCGGCCCCACCGGCCCCCCCCCAGGCGGCCGCCCCCCCCACGGTTGAGGACGTGGCGTCGGAACCGGAACCAGAACCGGAGCCCGTGAAAGTGCCTGAGCAGAAGGCAGCCGCGGTAACCACGGCGACGGCGCCTCCGGCGGAGGAGCCCCTGGTGGCCCCCCCGGAGTCCCCGCCCACAGAGGCCCTGTCCGCTCACCTGGAGGTCCCAGCAGTGGAGGCCTCCACAGGGGCCCCCGTGGAGGTTCCTGTGGAAGAGGCCCCGGTAAAGGAGGCCCCCCCCGCCCCGGCGGAGGAGGAGGAGGAGCAGCTGAGCCTGCTGCTCTACGGGGGGGCCGCCCTGCTGCTGCTGGCCGCCGTGGCGTTGGGCGTCCTGAGGCTCCGGAGCAGATAGAAGAGAAAAAAAACCCGGAAGAGGGAAAAACCCGGAAGAGGGAGCGGCTCCAGAAGAACCCCACGGTAAAAACAAATGTATCGAAACGCCCACGACGGGACTCTCCTCTGATTGTACTGGATTAGTTTCTGTAACGTCTCAAAGGGCCCCCCAGATGTCCGCCCCCCCCCCCCAGACGTCCGCGCCCCCCCCAGCCGGAAACACACTCCACCA